AAAAGAGAGACACTGCCACAATGCTATTACATTACCAAGACAAAGTGAGAGTAGCCCTAAATAATTTCAAGTATCCCTGAACTGGAAGAGGTTTGGAATTAGCACATTTTCATAGCCTAGTGTTGTTCTAACCTGCCCATTGCCAATCTGGCCAGTTAGGACTGCACTACTCATCTTGCCAGAAACATATTTATTGACATTATTACATGTTCATCCATTTTTTCCAATCTCAGCCTTTTTTGCGGCTTCAGAAGTCAAAATCTGCACTTAATTTATCTACAACATTTTATAGCTCATCAGCAAACAGTTTCCATGCCATAAAACAGAACTGTTCTTGGAGCACACCCTCATCAGTTGCGATGGTAATGTCACAGGAGCTCTCAAAGAACCACACTAAAATTATAAAGGCAGGATGGATGGAACTATAATCCAATGGAATTTTCTCCCACATTAAAATTTACTTATGACTAAGGTGGTATAGAGTTAAAATGGAGTTTCATATAAAATAAGTATTTTTTCTTCTGCTCTTAAAAAAACAAAACAAAATAATTCAATAAATCTGCAACCACAAAGTAAAAACAATGAGCCAGGTTAAGATTTGCCTTTGGTTAGTTAATGTAGTTAGACATTTCCAAAAGAAAGCAATGAGAAGTGGTCATTATCCATTATCTGCATGAAATATTTTAAAGAAAGAAAACAGTCTAATGCCAGAAATAGAAAAACAAAATATATTCCTTCTAGAAGTAAGAGAAGCAAGATCACATCCAAATGCTGTGCAATTGCTTTCATAGCAATGTTATTTTTAAAAAAGAGAGAGAATGAGTGTGTGTGTGTGTGAGAGAGAGAGAAAATAGGATATAGAAATGAAAAAAATACACATAGCATATAGACTTTGCCTGGATTAACTGCATTATATGGGAAGACAGTGATTCACCTAACCTTTCCTTGGCCAAAATGAAAATTTCTAGACTTGGAGAGAAAAATCTTGCTATATGTGGAAAAAGAGAGTCTCTCTGGCTTAAATAGTATTTACTATTGGAAAACCTAACAGAAAAAGTCTGCATTTAAACATATAGAGAAAATAGGTTTTACTCATTAAAATGCAGAAAAGAAACATTATATACTCAAAGCATATAATTGAGTTCAGCTGAATTCCTAAGACCTGGACTTAAATCCGGTACTTAGATTTACTGAAACAAAAATGGTTTTTGACAAAGATTCTGATTCAACAGAGTTATGGGATGAAATAATATGTTCAATAATTGTCTGTGGTATGACCAAAGTGTGGCTTCAATTCCGAATTTACTCCAGTTAGGCAAAGTCCATAGTATTAATGGAATGAATCTGTGTGTTGACTCACCATAGATTAATTGATTCTACAGTAATGGGCAGGAACTGACCTGGTTGCCTGTGTCACCAATGCATTGCACTCAAAGGGAGAGCCACAACTTCATAATGAGCAGGTTGTATCACAGTAACTCGGCCAACATACAATCAATACCATGGTTATATGTGCATTAGTTATGAATATTAAAAAAATTCAATTAGAATTTAAGCATGCTGCCAAAATTTTGACTGGTGCTAAATTTAGAAAATGCAATGATCAGATGCAGTGGTTGCCAGTCTACTTCCAAGTGGATCATTTCTTTTAAATCAAAAATATCCTGAATCTAAGTCACCTCACGTATTATCTTCTACATGAATTTAACTCATTTCTAAGGATAGTTTTCTTTGCATGCTATTGCTTTCTGAAGCAGCATGGTTGGCAATGTTTGAAAGTCTTTTGTTGTAGTTTGCACCCAGCACATGGAATATTCTGGGCCTCTCTTTTTGGATTTTCCTATTGCATGGATTTCTTTAGCATTTTAATTCAGATGGTGATGAATTTGAATGTTTCTTATGATATTTCTGTTTTCAGGTGTTGTTTTTTTAAAAATATTAATGTAACTTTATTTAGCTGTTTTTGACTAGTCCATAATGAAGTGGAAAGTCAGGCATATATCTTGATATTAGCTTGAAGGCCTATGTTTCACCTGTGCAGGTAGATCCTCCACTAGTACAGATCCCAGCTGTTCCTTACAGTGATCATATCTATAGATTCTATCACCAATGCATCCCCTTGTGGTTAGCTTTTTTGCTGATGAGCCTTTTTGGACTTGGATGATGAACATGGAGACAGATGCTAGAACTATACTTGAAACCTTACCTGTCAAGAGAGCCTGCCAGTGCTGTGCTTGCTCTCTTGGCTCACCTTCAGAGACCAGGGTCTATACCATGACGTGGAAGCAGAACAATATTTTGTATTTTGTAGAATAAATTGTGTGGAAAAAGAATAAATAACCTTAAATGTAATTCAGAGGGTTTTTTAAAAAGCCAAGAGAAACTTAAAGATGTATTAACATCTCAGAAACATGGGGTTTCTCTGAGTAGAATGTAATGGACATTAAAACCTAAGCAGACGTCCCGAAAAGGATTTCCATTTTGCATGCATGCTATGACTTGGTATGGATGTTAGAATAAAAAAGTTTTCTAAGCTTTCTGCATTCAGGATAGTAACTCACATGTGGATTTGTTTTTTTTTCCATCCAGATTGCCCTTGCCTTGATAAAGACATTTTTGTGCACTAAACTGATTGTGTGGGAATAATCTTAATGTGTTACTTAAGGTTTGCAACCATATGTAGATTTCATTTTTTTTAAAAAAAAAAACATGTTGCTCACATCAGAATGTCTTCTGTTAATCAAGCATTTTGATGAATTAATCTCCTGCGTTTCAATTTATATAATGATTTACATACGGTGAAACCTTCTTAAGGAAATTTGTAGAGAGGATGCCATGTGCATTCATTAAGCAGCCTGACTGTCTGCATTTTAAAAGGCTTTTGTCTGTCTTACATAAAATGCCCAAAGTAAGTGAATGATTTAGGAAGGCGAGTGCTTTTAAATATACAATATTAAATGGAATGCTTTTTTTCCTTTTCCTTTAAGGCAACAGGCATTTTTAAACCACCATTCAAATAGACTACTCTAAGTATGAGAAAGATCCAATTTGTTGCTTTCCCAATTCCTTAAAATGAAGGATAGACTAGTTCCAGGAATCTAGAGGCTAATTTTCTGTTCCCAGGACCCATTAGAGACCACATGAGAAAAAAAACCAATGTAAAATAGATATGCACTTAGCACCAGAAATAGTTATCAGAATTTGTTAGTTAAATGGCTGGAATCAGAGCTTGCAAAACTTTCTTTTTCCTTACAATTCCCAAAATTCGATAACCGTCATGGCCATTGGGGTGCTGGTACAAAAAAGTATGTTTTCCACTTGTAGTCTGACAAAAGTACCTTTTCCAGGTTTGAATAAAAATTGCATTTATGCCCTATTTTTGTGTATTAATCTGATCAAATTTATTACTGTTGTACTTGAAATAATAACCCTTGGAGCCAAAAAAGAAAGTTAGACTTTGATACTTTACTTCCAGGGCCCGAATACCCTAAAGGCATGAGATCCTGTCTGGTTTTGGAAGCAAAGCAGAGTCAGCCCTGATTAATACTTAACTGGGGTGCTACCAATGAATGTTGCAGGCTATGTTCCACTGGAATATTCCTTGCCTGAGAAAATCATATTAAATTAATGGGGTCACTATACATTGATGGATGACCTGAAGGCACACACATGTATATTTTAATTCTCATATTTGAGGAAGTAAATCTTAATAATAATAATAATAATAATAATAATAATAATAATAATCTTTATTTGTATCCTGCTTCCATCTCCCAAAAAGGGACTTGGGGTGGCTAACAAGGCACTGCAAGTGCAGTATAAACATCAACAATACATGAGTATAAAGCTATCTCATAAATATTATAAACAACCACTGTTAACACATAAAATAAAATACACAATTTAAAAACACTTTCCATCAATGGTTAAAACTAGCTGCCATCATTACAGAACTAAAGTGCCCAAGTGTCAACCTAATACAGGCCCATTTCAGCCTACTCGAGGCCAAAGGGCAGTTTAAAAACCCTTGTTTTTAAGCTAGAAAGGAAGGATTCAAGGGTAGGGGCTTATCTAATCACTTTTGGGAGGTATTCCAGAGCCGGGGAGCCAAAACCCATGTCGGTTCATAGAAAGAGATGCAGTCTCAAAGATAGGTTAGACCCGAAGTGTATAGGGCTGTACCTTAAATTGACCCCAGAAAATTGTCAAAAGCCAGTGAAGCTGCTTTAATAGGAGCATACTATGTTCCCTATAGCTAGCTCCAGTTAGTAATCTGGCACTAACTGCATATTCCGAACAGTCTTCGGCAGCCCGTATAGAGTGCATTACAATAATCCATTCTAGATGTAACTAAGGCATGGACCACCATGTTGCTTCATCCTGAAGGAGCAACAAAACATTTTTGCTCATTTCCTTCTCACTAAAAAAAAAACCTTTTAAAAATGAAGGTTTTTGCTGATTGCAACTTATTGCGCACAAAATTTTCAGGTGAAAATACAAAAACAGATTTTTTTACACAGAAAATATTTTCTGTCCAAAAAATATTTCCAGTGCAAAAGATAGAAATCAAGATCCCTTTCATCATGCTTTCTAAATTCTCAAGAAACATGCTTTTCAACTATTTTAAATGTATTTTTGAGTATTTTTCTCATCTCTATTTCTACTTCTTGGCCACTTTTCATTTATTTTCTGGAGTGGGTTTACAAGCATTTGATCATAATTAATGAGACTTCAAATGATCTCAGATATTAATTTTCTAACTGTTCCATTAAGGGACTGTTAGAGTTTTACTATTGCAACAGGAAAATTATTAACTCAGAACCTCCAGAAGTTACAAAGAATTATGGTTTTCTGCCAATAAAAATGGCAGTCCTTGCCAGTTTATTTTTTCTTCTTGTTGTGCTAAGTCTAGTAAATTCAGAATGAAAAGCAAATGTTAAAACTAGAGAAAGAATGTTCTTTGTTAAACTGTTTTTTTTCTGTATTTAATTTTTTTCCAGGTTATGGCCAAGAGGATGATTCGAAAGATGAAGAAGACATAAAAGAGGAGGAGGAGGAGGAGGAAGACAATGAGAGCAGTTCAACAGCTCATCCTCAGGGTAGCAATGAGCCAGGCACAGATGAAGAACATGATATTGGACCTGATCCAAAAGGCAGCTTTAGCTACCAAAATTCTCCAGTAAGTCATATCTCCAACCAGGATGCTGAAAATGAATCACTGCTAAGTGATGCTAGTGACCAGGTGGCAGATATTAAAACCCTTTGCTCCAGAGAGGCACAAGACTCCAAAGCCAATGTCCACCCCAAACATCCAAATGAAGCACACAGCTGCATGGATAAAATGACAGCAGTCTATGCCAACATCCTTTCAGACTCTTACTGGACAGGTTTAGGGCTAGGGCTCAAGCTGTCCAACTCTGAGAAGAAGGGATGTGACAACAGAAATGGGGCGAGTAAAAGTGACTTTGATTGGCATCAGGATGCCTTGACCAAAAGCCTGCAACAAAGCTTGCCAGCCAGGCCAGTCTGCAAACCAAACCTTTTTAGTTCAGTCCAGCTCTACCGACAAAGCAGCAAAATGTGTGGAACTGTATTCACAGGTGCCAGTAGGTTTCGCTGTAGGCAGTGCAGTGCTGCCTATGACACTTTGGTAGAGCTTACCGTCCATATGAATGAGAGTGGCCATTACCAAGATGACAACCACAAAAAAGACAAGCACAGGCCTACTAGCTACTCCAAGCCCCGGAAACGAGCCTTTCAGGACATGGATAAGGAAGATGCTCAGAAAGTTCTGAAATGCATGTTCTGTGGTGACTCCTTTGATTCCCTTCAAGATCTAAGTGTTCACATGATAAAAACAAAACACTACCAAAAAGTGCCTTTGAAGGAGCCAGTACCTACCATTTCTTCTAAAATGGTAACTCCAGCTAAGAAACGTGTATTTGACATAAATAGGCCTTGCTCTCCAGACTCAACCACTGGGTCATTTGCTGACACCTTTTCCTCTCAGAAGAATGCAAATCTACAGCTGTCATCTAACAACCGTTATGGCTACCAGAATGGTGCTAGCTACACGTGGCAGTTTGAAGCATGCAAATCACAAATACTCAAGTGTATGGAATGTGGGAGCTCCCATGACACCTTGCAGCAACTTACCACACACATGATGGTCACAGGTCACTTTTTGAAAGTCACAAGTTCAGCCTCAAAAAAAGGAAAGCAACTTGTTCTAGATCCACTAGCTGTAGAAAAAATGCAGTCACTGTCTGAGACATCAGCTAGTGACAGCCAACCTTCCAAACCCTCTAGTAATGTATCAACAGATTCTACGGCTCCCACTGTAGAGTTAAAGAAAGAGGGCAAACAAAATAAATCTGAGGATGTGAACAAAGAGGAAAAAATGGTGAAGAGTGAAGATTATGAAGACATGCTTCAAAAACCTCTGGACCCTACAATTAAATATCAGTACCTTAGAGAAGAAGATTTGGAAGATGCTTCAAAAGGTGGTGGAGATATTTTGAAGTCTTTGGAAAACACTGTCACTTCAGCCATCAATAAAGCTCAGAATGGAGCTCCCAGCTGGAGTGCTTATCCTAGTATACATGCAGCCTATCAACTCTCAGAAGGTGCAAAACCTTCCTTGCCAGTGGGATCCCAGGTTTTGCAAGTTAGGCCAACAGTCACTAATAAGTTGAGACCTATTGCTCCAAAATGGAAGGTTATGCCTCTAGTTCCTGTTTCGGCTAACATGGCCCAATGCACTCAAGTGAAGAAGGAAGGGGATACCAAGAAAGAAGTACAGCAGGACTATATGAAGGAAGGAAACAAAATTGATCCTGCCCCAGTCTGTCAGAATGAAGAAGAATCTCCCCCTCAGACTGAGGTGTGTGTAGATTCCAAAAAATCAGAGCCAAGTCCTTTGAAGGAGGAGAACAAGGCAAAAGAAGATGAGGAGAAAGAAAAAACAAAAACAAAGGAGTCAGTGACATCACTTCTCAGTAATGGATGTGCTTCTAACCACTCCTCAGAGCTGCCTTGTTTAAACCCTCTGAGCGCTTTGCAATCTGTACTAAACAATCACTTGGGCAAAGCGAATGAACCCCTAAGACCTCAGCCAAACTCCAGTCCGAGTGCTGGGTCAGTCTCTATTTTCCACAAACCTACTCTGAACATGATTGAGAAGCCAGTTTTATCTCCTGCCCCAACACCAAAAAAACCTGCTAGGCGTTATGTGTTTGAAAATAATGATCAGCCAATAGACCTGACCAAATCCAAAAGCAAGAAGGAAGAGTCTGTTCAAGCACAAACTTGCACTTCCCCATCTCAAAAACATGCACTGTCTGACATCGCAGACATGGTCAAAGTTCTTCCCAAAGCTACAACACCAAAACCTGCTGCCTCATCCAGAATCCCATCAATGAAACTGGAAATGGATGTAAGGCGTTTTGAGGATGTCTCCACCGAAGTCTCCACCTTGCACAAAAGAAAGGGAAGACAATCCAACTGGAACCCTCAGCATCTCCTTATTTTGCAAGCTCAGTTTGCTTCCAGTCTCTTCCAAACATCAGAAGGTAAATATTTATTGTCAGACCTGGGCCCTCAAGAACGTATGCAGATCTCCAAGTTTACTGGACTGTCCATGACCACCATCAGCCATTGGTTGGCCAATGTTAAGTACCAACTCAGAAAAACTGGAGGGACAAAATTTTTGAAAAACATGGATAAAGGCCACCCCATCTTTTATTGCAGTGACTGTGCATCTCAGTTTAGAACCCCATCAACATACATCAGCCATTTAGAATCCCATCTAGGTTTCCAAATGAAAGACATGAACAAGTTGGCTGTGGAGCAGCAAACGAAGGTAGAACAAGAAATCTCCAGAATTTCAGTTCAAAGGTCTCCTGAGACAATAGCTGGAGAAGAGGACACAGACTCTAAGTTCAAATGTAAGTTGTGCTCTCGGACATTTGTGAGCAAACATGCAGTAAAACTTCATTTAAGCAAAACACACAGCAAGTCGCCAGAACATCATTCACAGTTTGTAGCAGAAGTGGATGAAGAATAATTCCTAAGGTATGCATGCCTTAACTACAAAATCTGTTTTATTATTGCATTTCTCAAAGGAGGGCACTAAAAGCACCTCTATTTTCTTAAAAATATTATGGTCAAGGATGCGAGTTTCTTTGCAGGCCGTGGCTTCTGTGTCTGGAACTGTTGCAAGATGGGAGAAATTTAAAATGTCCAGCTGTTTCAAACACTGCATTTCCATCATGGGAACAGGCTTCCCAATATTACCTTGCTTGGTGATACTGCATTTACAGACACAGGAACCTCTGCCAAGAAAAGGTTTGGCAACCTTGTTTATTGTTGACACCATGTTCCCATTTAGCTAACCAGTCCATTAATCTTGTATTTGAAAAGCAGAGCATGCTGAACACTCTAATGGCTTCTACGGAAATGGCATTTGCTTGTAATATTTTAAGCATCCACATCATCTGTTTGTCCCTCATCTGAGCAGAAGATCAGGAGTCACTACAAAACAAATGTCAGTGGCATGTGTTTTCAGTGTCCAGTTTCAGATATGGGATTCCTCTGATTGATAATTATTTCCTCACAGTTACAAAGATTTAAATGTTGTTTCTGCCTTCATTTTCTACTGTTAATATTTCATCTGATATATTTCTATAACTGGAGTGACAAATCTTAAGCCATGAGACTATATCTGGGATTCCTGAATCACCAGAACTTTGTAGTTCTCCAGATAGTCATGTTCCTTTCCCAATGAAACCATTGTTTGGTGGTATACCTGCTTTTGTATGGCTTTTCTTCACTATAGTAGAACCTCTTTATCCAGAGTTTCAATATCTAGTTTCACTTACCCATGCGCCAAAAAAAAATCCAATTTCTGGAAGAATTTGTGATCTTCTCTAAGTTCTCCAGTGCTATTCTATGGCATGCTTCTGGATCAAGTGCAGCCAATAATCCATGGGTTCAGTTATCCATGGGGGATGGTTTTGAAATGTGTCAACTATAGCTATAGGGATCATACTGTATTCTACACAGTTGAAATGCCTCGTTTAAGGCTTAATTACTGACAGTAAAAATATGAAGTCAATTATATCAGTGTTTGGTTCCACCTGCATTTTCTTTAGTCCCTCCCAACACTAGAATGTAGCCCCAACAATATCTCTGAAACTGAATTTAGCCCTTGGGCAGAAAGTTTCCCCCAACCTTGTCTATAATATATGGATCAGGAGGAAACATTGACATATCCAAGATTCTTGGGTATAAAGTTATGACAATGGTCCACAATTTAATGGCAGAGGATCTAGCCAAGTTCAATCCCAAGTTCAATCATGGTCATCTCAACCTGAAGTGTTTTAGAAATCAAGGCTGGAAAATTTAAACTAATGACTATTCAAAGTCAATCTCCTTTCTTGCACTTTGGTGTTTCCAGATGTTTATATTTTCTTTTTAACTGGAGCACACATCTGCCCTTGCCAGAAAGATCAGGATAGTAGGAGTGGTCATCACCTGAAGGGACTTTGGTTAGAATACACTAAGGTAGGGACTCTCATTTGATGACCTGAAATGCTTTTTCAAGAAATTAATTACTGGCAGAAGTATCTTAAAGCAAAATATCCTTGTTTTTTGGTTCCCACTCTTTTGCATTTAGAATAATTTTCAATGGGAAGAACCCCTCCTCCCAATTTTTAAAATTAAATCTGCTTTTGAATGGAACCTCAAAAGGTTCAGATTTTGAGCTGAAAGCCCTTCATTAGATGTACCCATATCTCAATATAAAGAAAGTGCAAATCTTCATATGACTTCTCAGGGCAGAGAGGGATAATTCTTCTTTTGTTCAAAGGAAATCATTAATTAATCTGTCCTTAAAAGACTGTAAAGTTACAAGAAAATCTGTAACCAAAAACACACACCTACCAACGGAAAGAAGAAGTACCTGCTCTGGCTTAAGGAGATCCCTTTACAACAAACAGAAGGTGCTTGCTAAGCAAGTAAAAAAAAGGAAGAAGAAGCGTACATCTAAAATCTGTTCCAAATATGCCAGTGAAGCAAGGAGAAGGGAAACCTGAGTTATTTATTTTATACCGCTTTTCTATATCTGGAGAGGTGCAACACAAAAAAAGTAGAAAAGTTAAAAGATTTTAAAATGTTATAATAAATAAAACCCTTCGCAAGCTTGCATTGCAGTTTCTTTCACTTCTGGGTATAATCCTCAGGAACGATGTGAACGATGTGTACAAGACCCAGAAGGGTAGAAAGAAGAAGGGCTCCCACACCACTTCTTTGGGACTTCCAAAGCAGCTTCATTTAGTTCTCAGTATCCAAGTGTATCTTACCCAAGTGCTTATTAAAGAATCTGGAAACCCTGGGAAAAACAAGGATACAGCTAGTGTTAGCCTATATTCCTGTGTTAGGGATCCTATGCTCCCCTGCATGTTGTTTCTCTGTAGTGCCCATCATTCCTGACCATGGCCATGCTGGCTGAGGCTGATGGGACTTGAAGTTAGTAACATCTGAAGAAATACAGATACCTGCCTACTTGCTCTCCAAAGTGGAACTGTCATTGTAAGAGTCTAATTTTCCCCTGATTACTCCATTTGTCCTTTCTCATTTACATTCCCCTTTCTATTCTGAAGGGGAGGGTGGTTACTGTCTGAAGTTTTCACTGGCTCAAACTTGAATATCCGTAATTTTTAGTAGCTGAATTCTCTATAACTGAAAGGTAACTGAAACTGTTGACTAGACCAAAATCTATATGATGCACTGAAAACCTGTATTCTAAAAAATGGTTATTTGGTGATTATTCTAGATAAACATATGGCATCATAGATTCATTTGTGTAATAATAAACTGCTTTGTCACACTTAAATGTATGCAAAAGTCTCTCTCATTGCTTATTTTGGCTAATCTTTCTGCCCCTTGAATATTTATCTACATTTCTAACAAGATACAAATGTATCTACATAGTCATATCTTTACATGCAAAATCTCTCAATAATCTGACATTGTTACCCCATAGTATATGACCTACTTATAGTTGCAGAGATAAATGGGGCACATATTTACTTGTCTGGATCATAACCTGACTTGATATTGCTGAGGTCTCATATCATGCAACATGCATTACTTTCAGCTGTCTTTTGTTAGGACCCCACACAGTTGATGAACTGAAATTAATGAAGGCAGCACATGCCTTTCTAGATGCTACAGAGTTTTGTTTTTGTTTTGTTTTTTGTTTTTTACTATAAAGTTAGCTGGTATAAAGGAGGCAATTTTCACAGACTCACTCATACATATATTGCTGGTTTTCATCCAGAAATACTGTAGAGAACAAATAACCAAAAATACACTTACATTTAATACACTTTTAGTCTGATGCATAATTAATAAAACCTGCAAACTCCAAAGTCCAACATCTCATGGCTTTAAATTATTAAGAAGTGTGCCACCTGAAAGCCCAAACATGTGTTTGCTCAGAATTCCATTCCATAGGTGCTTTTTTAATTCCCCAAGTATGTTTAGGTTAGAGTGTAAAATGCACAATGCAATTTGACATATGTCTTATTCAGAAACAAATCATACTGATTAAGAAACAAATCATGGAACTTAATCCCAGGTAAGTGTGCCCAAGATTCCAGTCCTAAATTCTGAATGACTTCTAATCAGTAAGGTAAGATTATATGAATATCCTATGAGGGATTCATCTGTGTGGTAACTACTAAGATAACCAGGTGTACATGTGCTCTGTATGAGCACATGGGCAATTGTGGTCCTCAGTTTTTGGGGGAGAACAACCCCTATAAGGTGAAGCAACAATGATACCAGCAGTAGACCCCTGCCAGGCAGTTCTTAGAGTCATAACTCCCAGATGTGGTGATAATGTGGAAATAAGGCTCATAACATCTCCCCATTGGCCATCCTGGCTGATAGAACCTGTGGGGCAAAATATAAAGTAGGACACAGCTACCCACCCTGATTTGAAAATAAAGTATGTGCTTCACATCACCTGTCAATGTATGGATTTCATGGGGTTTTCTCATGGAGAGATTGTTTCCCACAGCCTTCCTCTGAATATAGTGTAGAACAGTTCCCGACGTAGTAGTGGTTCATGGGACTAGTGTCAATCCATGATTTCTTGGATTCCAGTCCCTCACAAGTTTCCAAGAAAGGGTCAAAACCAATTCTCTCCATCATGGTGTAGTGGCTTGGGTGTTGAACTACAACTCTGGAGACCAGGGTTTGACAACCCACTTGGCCATGGAAACTTGCTGGGTGACATTGAGTCACACATTTTCAGCCACAGAAAACCATGTGATAGCTTTACCCTAAGGTCGCTATAAATTGGAAATTACTTGAAGGGACACAAAAATAAACCAATGGGCACAACTGTAGTGTGATAGCCTCTGTTATATCAGAGGAAAAATAATTGCTCATCCCCTAGATTAGATAGCCTTAGAAGTACTGCCTCGATGTCTTCCCTTCTAAATACATGACTCTGCTTACCTTCTGAGATCATAGTGGATCTCATACCTTCTAGGTATTTTGGCATACTCTTGGGATATATATAGTAAGTTTGTTCCCGGTGCTACATATATTTAAATAGTTGTAAAATGTTATTTTACAGAGAAATCATGTCAACAAGTCATTTGTGTTTGGGTGGAATTTAGGATACTATCATATTGACCCTGAATTTCAAATGTGCTTTGATGTGATATTTCTTTCAAAGAGCAGTTCAGTTTCTTTGTGGAAAAGAAGACGCACACAATGCAGGTCGTTCTACAAGAATAAAAAAGGAAAACCCAGCAGAAACATTTGGACCAAACAGCAGCTGGCACAAACAGGATGATTTTGGCACAAACAAAGATCCATTGGCTACTTTGTTAGTACTATTTCCCTTTCCAAATTCCATGCTTGGTTTTGCCAGCTATAAGGGACATGGACCTTTCCGAACAGGAATCCTAGTGCAAACTGGGCCAAGTCTGACATACATTGGTGGCAAATTCCCTGCACTCAAATACATCACTCCTATAAGTATTCTAGTGTAGAAACACACAGTGCAAATCAGGACATGTTGAAGAGTTACTTTATGCTGCAGTGGGTTAAATCTACCATTACCCTCTTAACATATTGACAATACTTCCTCCCTGTCTCCTCCTGTTGAGCCATGTAAATTCATAGTTACTGCCTAAATCACAGCCTTAATGTTCATTGTAAGGGAGGGATCAGTGGTACAATTCAGAATACCAATCAAGTTCAGTAACATGGTTGCCAAGTGACCAAGCTAAAAAGGGCCATCCTTCTCCCATTCTTATATCAGAAGCTGCCTCTGCAGATATGAGTTAAATGGGGCTTTTAATAGTATGAACATGAGTACAACTACCTGCTAAAGCTTATAGTTCAAGGAAGAATTCAAGGTACATATCACAAAATTATAGTGCTATGATTCTACTTTAACTGCCATGATGACATCTTATGGAATCCTGGAATTCATAGTGTTGTCAAACTTTTTGAACTCTCATTCAGAGAACAACGACACTTCATCCAAGCCTTTCTAGCTTGCAAATAAATTAAAATCATAATGCTATAGCAGTATAGTGTGAAAAGACACCAGGGGTTTGACAAGGCACTAGATATATGTGGGACAGAATTTTAAGCACCCCCTCCCAATACTGCAAATCCCAGGTTTCCAAATTATGGAAGCCAGTGGAATTATAATGCTATATTTGTATAAGAACGCAAAATAAGAGGAGCAAAGTCTAGTCAAAGACTTGGCAATCTGTGATGCAAAAACAGCAGCATGCAAATTACTTTCCCACTGCAACAGTATGTTCCAAGGCTATAAATGTGGAGTGTTTTTAATAATGAACTGAGTTCAGAGTTTGGCTAAGTGGAAGAATTAAGGATCCAGTACTGTTGAGAATATTTAAATGACAGCACACAGCTGCACAAGGGTCCCTCAGTACAAAGGTAATGGCGCTGCCTTTGGACACTTATCCAGTAAATCACAGTCATTTAAAATGGAGGGGGGAAAGCAATAAAAACACAGTCCAAGTGATTTTGTGAATTTAAGCAGTTGATTTCTAAATGCACAATCTGGAATAGTTCTGTGTTATTATCATGAGGGTATTTTACAATTTGGGGGGGGGGGATTTTCTCCCTCATAGGGACTGATTTACACACCTATTACTATACCACAATTTGAAACCCCTCATAACTGGTAATAAAAGTTGTGAAAAAGTGAAAAATTCTAGGAAAAAGTTAGGAGGAAATATACTTCGGACCTCTCTTTTTCTCTCTTTTTAACAGCATAGCCATAAAGTTATGGCTGAAGCTTAAACAAGTAATTTCCAGAAATAAAAACTTGTATCAATTCAATGTGACACCATTCCTGGCAAGTACACTATGATGAAAGGCAAATAGTACATCTAGAGGCCTCATAATCCCATTGTTCACAGTGGCAAGGTTTCTGGGAGTATTTTGACTTTTCTTTTCCTTAATGAATATTCCCCAAGAAGAAGAAAAGGGGAAATAATGGGAAAACACAAGAAGGCTGCCAACTGAAGACAAAGATGTTTGGAGGTTCTGAAAACTTCTATGAACAAGTGTTTATACAGTTTAAAAGCCTCATGGCAGCCTGTTCTTTGCATGTCCTTTAGACAAAATGAATTATTTTTAATCCAACACAAACATGTATAGGGTCACAAAATTAATATATAAAGTGTTCTGACTTAGTTTTATTCATCGACATTTGGATAAAAGGGTATATTTATAGATAGTGTGTGCAGAACAAATCTTGTTATCATTGTTTTATAAATGAAACTATTGCAGCCACTTTTATTTCATGCACTAATGATATACTTTGATTCTTAAAAGGAATATATTTATATGTAAAGTGCAGTGCAAATATAAGTGGATGGTTGTTGGGAACGATCTTTTGAGTTGGTACATGTGATAGCACAAATTGTGTTGACTGATGGGCTTGGCTGTTTTTAATTACACTGCAAACTTTACAACTCTTTTTCCTTTTAAGATCCAGCCTGCACTAGTTCCTTAGAGCTTTGCTAAAAGTAAAAAAAAAATACCCTGAAGCTGACTTGTTCTTAAAAGCTAGAGTTTTACAGTTCATTGAAAAGCAAAAATGAGGACACATTTACCAACTGAGTATTTCAAACCACTCTAAGCTGTTAACTCTCACTTTAAATGCCTCTACTGCATACACTGTGATTGTTATTAGAAATATTTCTAATCTTCATTGTTTTAAATAACAATAGTTTTGCCTTCACTTTCCTACCCCTTTTTTCTCACTTCTGATAGATGATTTGGGCCCCACCTATACTGCTATGAAATTCAATTTTATAATGCAGTTTAACTGCATTGAGCTGAATTATATGAGTCTACTCATATAATGCAGTTAAACTGCATTATGAAACTTAATTATATGGCAGTGTAGATGGGGCCTTATTTGCTCCACTATCACCTTTGTGTGGTGAAACGCTCCCTTGACCATCTCCCTCTGCTAGCTTACATTTCCGCTTTCGGCTGTCTCTTTCTCTCCTCCACTTCCAAGTCTCTCTCCATCATTCTCTCTCTCTCTCTCTCTCTCTCTCTCCTCTTCTGGACCAGCCTTTTTCTAGTGCATTGGTTCTTAACCTGTGGGACGTGAACCACCAGTAAGCTGCGAGGACAAAAATCTGTTCTGCAAACCCCCTTCCTCTTTTTTTTATCTTTTTTTTCATTTATTTTATTTTATTTCCACTCATTTTGTGAAGTCTGCTACTCTTTCCCTGTCGCTGATCAAGTAGGCCCTGGTCAGGTGGTCCCTGGTCAAAGTGGTCCCTGGTCGGAAAAAAAAAAGGTTGGGAATCACTTTTCTAGTGGAA